GAGGCATAGGTGAAGGGAAGTGTAGAAGTGGGAAATACAGTGAGAGGTATGAAAGCAGGCGGGCTGTCCGCCTTGCTGACACCATGTGTGGGTGTTGGCAGCTCAGCTAAGCTGGCTCCCTCTTGTCAGGGAGCTGTGAGTGTGTGAGAGGTTCTTCACATGTGTTTCACCATATATGGATGTCCATAGATGAATACTGTGAAGCATTCATATATACACACTCCGATGCTTCCACACACGTTATTCTGTTTAATGCTCTTTATTTTATTATTATTATTTATCGAGTTGTTCATACATAAACATATTTCGTGTGTAGTGTCGTGACGGTGTATGTATGGGGGGAAGAATATCTGGTCAGTATTTCATCTTGGGATTATATACTGTGGGGCGGGGTTTTCATCTAGTGAATCGAGGCTCTTGGGTCACCAGCTGTGGGAGCGGGGCGTCTCATCTTGGAGTAATTTTTCAAACATTGGGTCCTCTAACATTTCGATGGTGTTCCACACCCTGATGGCTTGGTGCTGCAGTCTGATGTTTAGTGGCTGTATGTTCAGGAGTTCGTGGAGCTCCTGGATTGTCTGATCATATGGTGGACGGTGTTTTGCTGCTCTCCTTAGCGCCTTATTTTGTACTGCTTGCAGTTTCTGCATGTTAGTTTTCTTTATGGTGTGTAGTGGTACTGGGGGATACTCTAGATGCGGCCGAACTAGAGCCTTGTATAGGTGGATCTGAATGTTAGTACTGAGGCTTCGGAATCTCCTCAGTTTTCCTAATGCTGCTTTGGCTTTGTTTAGTCGGTTCCTTACATGAATTTGTATCCCTGTTCTATTTATCATAAGTCCCAGTATTCTGCCTACCTCCGCATATTGGATCGGATGGTTGTCAAGGATGATGGGGTCCGGGTTTCTTTTCGCAATGTGTATTATCTGAAACTTTTGTTGGTGCTAATTTTCCATTGCTTCTCAAAGTTGTTTATGAGTTCAATTGCCGCCTTGGTCTTGTCGGCTAGTAGCGGCTTTGATGGGCCCGGTTGGCAGATTATTTGGGTGACATCGTTAGCGTATGTGATGTATTCTCCATGTTGGGGTTGGGGTAGGTCAGCTGTATATAAGCGGCCTCCCACCCACCCACCCCACCCCCGCGGCCTCCCACCCCGGGGCTTCAACACCTGAACTAACACCCATCAATCACCTGTGCAACAATCCGTCAGTACATCTGTGGTTCCCAGTCGATCAACGCCGGGGCCAGTTTTTTCCCCAGTGGCTGGTGGGCCAGGCGTTCCGGAGGGGTGTGGGGGGGGGGTTGTGTGGTAGCTGAGGATAGTTAGTGGTGTGGTAGCTGAGGATAGTTAGTGGTTAGCAGCCGAGGATAGTTAGTGGTTAGCAGCCGAGGATAGTTAGTGGTTAGCAGCCGAGGATAGTTAGTGGTTAGCAGCCGAGGATAGTTAGTGGTTAGCAGCCGAGGATAGTTAGTGGTTAGCAGCCGAGGATAGTTAGTGGTTAGCAGCCGAGGATAGTTAGTGGTTAGCAGCCGAGGATAGTTAGTGGTTAGCAGCTGAGGATAGTTAGTAGCTGAGGATAGTTAGTGGTTAGTAGCTGAGGATAGTAGTTAGTTGCTGAGGATAGTAGTTGGGAGTCCTGGGCTGAATGGCTTTGACAGTGACGTGAAATTACTACTACTTTAGGAACAATACTTATTGTTGATATTTTTACGAAAAGAACCGTTTTGAGGCAATAGGGTGATTAGAACCAGAGTTGTGATGATCCCAGACACCTGTGGGGCTCAGTTCCTGAACCCACCATGTGCCTCTGTAACCCTTTCCACCACCGCCCACGGCATGGGTATGGGGTGCATAATAAGGAAAGAATCAAGCAATCAACCAGACACTTGTCTTAACCCACTTGGTCACGATAAGACAAAAGTATATTTATATATATATACAGAATGGAAAAGTAGGAAATGTTCACAATGAAGGGATATAAGTTCAAAGATTTTGGATAAGATGAAGAAATGGAATGGTGCCTAACCACTTGGACGGTCGGGGATCGAACGCCGACCTGCAAGAAGCGAGACCGTTGCTCTACCATCCAGGCAAGTGGTTAGGACGCAGCAGAAGAGGGTCTGGGAAGGAAGCTTGAGAAACAGACGAGCTAAGATATTGAAAAGTTTCCTTTTCTTAACGTAAGCCTAGTAGTCATAGACTGAACTGAATGAATAAAATGAACAAAAAACAAAAGATTGTGAAATATATAATTAGACAACCGGTGGCTGAAAAGGCGGGACCCAAGAGGTGAAGCTTGATCCTGCATAGGTGAGAACGCGTAGACTGTTAACATGTTCCCAAACTCGCAAACTCTTTGTAATATGAAGCAAAAGTTGCTTGCACGAATTATAAAGTTGGTTGGTGGGAGGCGGTCTCGTGGTGACATTAGACGCACCAACACCACAGAGGCGGCAACCACGGTGTCCGGGATAAAAAGTTACACATACAAGCTTTGTAATAGAAGTCGGTGATTACCTAAGCTGACTCCTTATTTGGAGCAAGGCTATCTAGATGCGTGTGTGTGTGCGCGTGCGTGTACATATTTTTGAGCCTACTGAGCTCTATCATATCCACATTTGAAACTGTGTATGGAGTCAGCCTCCACCACATCACTCCTTAATGCATTCCATTTGCTAACTACTCTGACACAAGTTTCCACCTGTGTTCCCTTATTAGTGTTCCACCTGTGTTAGAGAGTTTGTCTTTGTCCACCCTATCAATTCCCCGAGAATTTCGTAGGTGTTAATCCACTGGAGCACCTTACCTTTTACTCCTGCCTGTTGCTCCGAACTTTGTAACGGTCTTTTATGGAGTACTGTGTCAAAGGCTTTCTGGCAGTCCAGGTCTGCAGCAGTCGGCCCACCCTTCTCCTTCTTGCCTAATTTTTGTTGCTTAGTTATAAAATTCTATTAAACCTGTGAGGCACGATTTACCATATCTGAACCCATGCTGGTGGTGTGTTACTAAGCTATTTCTTTTTCTCGCGATCTTCTCCATCACCTTGCATGGTATATAAGTTAAGGAAACTGGCCTGTAGTTCAGTGCCTCTTGCCTGTCACCCTTTTTGTATATTGGGTTGGAAGACATTAGCTGTCTCCTGTTTCCAGTGACCTGTTATACAACATAGTAACACACTTAGTGCTTCTGCACCTTCTTTTAGTATCCCCGGTGAGATTCTGTCAGACCCAACAGCCTTTGTCACATTCAGCTCCAACAGATTCCTTTTAACATCATTACTGGTGAGGTCAAATTCCTCCAAGGATGCCTAGTTTGCCTTCTCATTTAGTGTAGGGGTTTCTCCTTGTTCTATTGTGAAGACCTCCTGGAATCTCTTGAGTTTTTCACACACCACCTTGTCATTCTCTTTGAATCTATTCTCCCCTTTTCTCAGTTTCATCACTTGTTACTTTACTGCTGTTTTCCTCCTGATGTGGCTGTGGAGCAGTTTTGGTTGAGTCTTGGCTTTACTCGCGATGTCATTTTCACTGTCTCTGCTTCTCTCCTCACTCTGAGGTACTCATTCCTGGCCCTATGGTATCTCTGTCTGCTCTCTGGTGTTCTGTTATTCCTGTAGTTTTTCCATGTTCTTTTACTCAGTTGCTTCGCTACCTTACATTCCTGGTTGAACCAAGAATTCTTCTGTTGCTTTTCGTTTTCTCCTTTTGGACCGGGATAAATCTGTATGCAGCTTCCTGGCATTTCTGGGTGACATAATCCATCATATCCTGCAGAGTCTTCTCTCTAAATTGTTTCCCCATCCCATGTTGAGGGAAATCTCCCATTGTGAGGTTTCCATTAGGAATTTCCTCATCTCGTCATATTTTCCTCTTCGGTAATTTAGTCTTTTTCCATTCCAATCCCATCCTTGGATAGGTTATCCCTACCTCCACCTGATACTCAAATGTCAATACACTGTGATCACTCATTCCTATTGGGGCTTCAAATTTGACTTACCTTATTTCTGACTCATTCAAGGTGAATATCAGGTCGAGTCTTGCTGGTTCGTCATTGCCTCTTATTGTTGTGGGTCCCTTTTTTAATTTTTGTATTTATTTATATATACAAGAGTTCTTACATTCTTGTACAGCCACTAGTACGCGTAGCGTTTTGGGCAAGTCCTTAATAATCCTATGTTCCCTGGGATACGACCCCGCGAAGAATCGTCGTTATAACCAAGTACCCATTTTACTGTCGAGTTAAACAGAGGCTACAGTTAAGGATTTGCACCCAGTAAATCCTCCCTGGCTAGGATACGAACCCAGGTCAAAGTCGACTTGTACACCGACATATACTGGTCGACTTGTACACCGACATATCCTGGTCGACTAGTACACCGACATATCCTGGTCGACTTAGCCACCATAATCTCTCACAGTAAGATTATCCAATGAATTATCCGATCCAATTATCCATAAATTATCTAAAGTTACACAATTCTATTTATTTCACCCTCGGGTCCGCCAGGTGGCGGCACCACAGGGATGCTCCCAGCTGCGGGAGATGAGTGGATGCTCTCAGAGATGAGTTTCGCCAGCATCCCTATAATAATACCGGCACTCTCTGAATATTCATCTGCGGAAGCCCACCTTCCGTACCAGGAAATTAGACGTATCGAGGACCTGTAAAGTAGCTTTTTTATATATGGTTAGTTTGATTATTGATCTTTAATGGTTGGGAAGTGTTGAAGATACAGGTGTTCGGTTAAGGTGGTGGTTCGGTTAGGGAGAAGGTACAAGTGTTCGGTTAGGAAGATCTATTAGCAACGTGGTTCGTTCACCTCCATGGGGGTGAGAGGTGAGGTGGGGTGGCGGTACTGGATGAGGGTAGTGGGGGAGAGGGAAGGGGGAGAGGGGGAGAGGGAGGTAGATGGAGAGAAAGATTAGGAAGGCAGCAGAGGGAGGGAGGGGGTGAGGTCACGGGGTGTTTATGTGGAATGAGAGGCTGCTATACACACCAGTTGGCCGCCAGAGGTCGCCAGTGTTGGGGGTGGACGCTGGCTGCTGCTGCTGGATGTGGTCGAGGGACTGGTTACTTGGGCTCCAGGTGACAGTGGCGGATATGAGCTAACGTGCTGCCCCACAGAGGACAGGTAGGCCATGTTTGGTGTCTGCTGCATGGGCGCCATGCTTGTACGTGCAGGGTGCTCGCACGTCACCCGCTTACAGGCTAGTATTGCTGTCTTGACTGCTGCTTACAGGTGTGATATTCCTGTCTAGAGTGCTGCTTACAGGATAATATTCCACTCTACACTCTTGTCTAAACGATTAAATGCATGTAAGAGGATCTCCCCCTAGCATAACATTCCTGTGTACACGGCTGCTCACAGGATGATGTAAATCACAGCATGTGTGAATACACACCTCATAGAATACCATTCATATTTACGCATTTCACAGGGCCATATTTACAGTTTACACACAGCTGTTTTACACAGTTTACACCGCTGCTCACAGGATATTCCACTGCCGTAGCAAGGAGTCATCCAGGAGCTGAAACCCAACTCCCCCCCCCCCCCCCTCAATCGCCGCTAGGGGACTCTAGAACAAGGTGTGTGTGTGTGTGTGTGTGCGTGTGCGTGTGTGTATATATATAATATATATATATGAGACACACATTACCTGCTGATTGAGTAATGTCGCATATCCCTTTGTTTCGTTGTTTGTTCATACACCCCCTGTGTATGGCAACATGTATGGTGGATGGTGGTCCATGTATGGCAACCTCGGTTGAAGACATTCCTTCAAGGTGTTACTGGCCATTAGGCCCCTTTATCAGGTTGTTGATGGCTCTTAGGATGCTCCTTCAGGAAGCGTATGGCTTCTATTAATGCTATTTGAAGATGCTAGTGGTTCCTAGAGTGCTCCATAGTCGTTGAGGACTTTTAGGATGCTTCTAAGGATTGATGATTGCTTTAAGGATGCTCCTTCAAGCTGTGGGTGACCTCTAGGATGCTTCTTCAGTTGTTGATGTCTTCCAGTGCACTCATGTGGCAGTTGATGGCTTCAAAGATGCTACTTCAGGTCACTTGTGGCTTAAGGGGACGCTACTTTAGGTTACTGATGGCACTAAGGAAGCTACTTTAGGTTACTGATGGCACTATGGAGGCTACTTTAGGTTACTGATGGCTCTAGTAAGGCTAATGTTCTCGATCAGAACAACAAAATTAGTTATGAAATGTTAATTTTATAAATATTTTGATAGGTGTAGCAGGCGAGCAGTGTCAAAAAATCATCGTGGGTGTCATAATGTGACCTCTGGCATGCTGTTCCACCTTGAATTATGGTGACCCCGCCCAGCCTATGACCGTGCTGTTCCCCAGACCATTCCCTCTGCAAATCTGGGTGTGTCTGGACTCCTCCTTTGGACACAGACATTCTCTCTTACTGTATACCTGGAGGGGGTACTCGGCACTATATATATAGATATCTAAATATCTCTGTTTTTCCATCTATTATCAATCTATCCTTTTATATATGTCTATTATCTATGTTTATCTATTTTTCTCTATCTGTCTTCCTTGTCCCCTCATTTTCCCCCCTCTCCCCCTCATCTTACACCTTCACTACATACTATCTTCACTGTATCTATTATCAGCATTATCATCTTCCCAACTCACTATTTTCTTCATTGTAACCTGAATCAATTCAGCTCATGTTGTCCAGTTTTTTTATTAACACATTAGGTACATCTGCATTAGTGCAGCTACCCTAGACTATATGAAGTGGAGTACAGTGTGTCAAAAAAGCTAACTAGGTGATGCTAAAAAATCCCCATCACACAGGATGGTTAGTCATACAGAGGCATGTGATAAGCGGTCTGCACTGGCAGACTCCGGATGCATTTTGAGGATATCAACAAAAGATTGAATAAGGTAGCAGTGGTAATCCAAGTCCCCATCTCTCAGGATGGTTAGTCATACAGGGCCATGTGTTTAATAGCCTGCACTGGCAAATTTTGGATATACTGTGAGGATATCTTCAAGAATACGAGAGTGAATAAAGTAATTGCAAAGCTCCAGGTACCTCATGCCAACTGGTCTGAAAGGTCTAATAACTGGGCATTCAGTGATGTAGTGCGGGGAGATCGTGCCGCAGTTCCTGCTCACAGAGTTTGCAACTGGAGTGCTCAGGATTGGGAGACCCGTCACCTGCAGCTACCTGCCACAGGTAACGGTAACCCAACCTGATCCTTGCAACCACTGTGTCGCACAGTCTAGTGGATGTTTTGTGCTGTCCAAAGTCATGAATGTTCGCGGTAAACTCCATGGAAACCACACGTCAGATTTGTCATCAAACTTCATGAAAACTGCACGGGAGAGGAAGGGGGGCTATATTTATTAAAACATTTAACATAGGCCTCCTCCATCCAGCCTATGGCTGTCCCGTACCCCAGACCATTTCCCCTGCCTAATTTAGGTGAGACTAGCCGGTGGAGCCGGCGACTGAGCGGACAGAACACTGGACGCGTGAACACTGATCCCGGGTTCGATCCCGAGCGCCAGCGAGAAACAATGGGCAGAGTTTCTTTCACCCTGATATCCCTGTTACCTAGCAGTAAATAGGTACCTGGGAGTTAGTTAGCTGTCACGGGCTGCTTCCTGGGGGTGGAGGCCTGGTCGAGGACCGGGCCGCGGGACACTAAAGCCCCGAAATCATCTCAAGATAACCTCAAGAACATAGCCCCAAGACTCTGGTCTCCAGCTTTGGACAGACGAGATAATGATTAATAAAGATTAAGACACCCAAGATGTGGCACGGGCATGAATAACCCATAACAGACGGATTGATACAGATTCTCTTGTAGCATACTAGAAGGTTGTACCCGGCGGTGCCCGGGTGCCCTCTCCTACTCAAACCATTCTCCCCCTCCCAAACCCTCCTGTTTAGCCCCCCCTTTCTATTTCATAAAATTTAATATTACAGACCAATGACACTATTGTATGGATTTAAGGAAACATTTGTGTTATAACGAAAGTCTTGGGGCATCTCAAACAATATTTCACACTAATATTTCTTAAATCATTGAACTTATGCCTGCCCCGACCTACGTTAACCCACAACCCCACAACAACCATCAGAACCAATAACAACCTTCACAACCCCAATAACCACCACATCCCCACAATCCCTCAACAACCATTACAACCCGCATTCCTACTGGCACCCATCACAATCCACATCATCACATATACGATCACAAACCTTAAAACAACAACAACGATTACAACCCCTACATCACAACTTCTATTTCAACGTTATCTAGACACCAGTTCAATTGCTAGCCTGACCGACTGGTGTTTAACCCTTAATATGTAGTCACCCATTCAGTTACTGGTCCCACCCAAGGGGGTTTAACCTGACTGTCCTATACAGCAATGGGAGATGACAACTTCCACAAGGATCTCTTACTGTACTGTCAGCAGATGTTAACGTACGTAAAAGGCATTGTTGAACATGGAAATTATTTGCAATATATCGATGTTAGGCCTTTTGTATACAGAAAATTTTAGGAAAAGACCAATTACAGAAAACGAGTCAGTTACGAGGGCTGACTAATGCATAAAATCTAACTGTTGCTATATCGTAATTCACAATTTAATTCATTGTGTCGAGGGACAGGATGCCAGAGTGTGTTCATATACGGTAGACTTGTATAGAGGGCCACCCCCCTCCCTCCCACCAAGGCCGAATTACTGACCCCGCCCAGGATGCAACCCCACAACAAGCTGGTTGACTCCTGCATGAGTACATATGGAGGTGAACATATGCATTGGGTGAAAGAAAATGTGCCCAACCACTTCTGTCCCGCCCAGAACTCGAACCAGAAATTCTCGATTGTGCGTCGAGAACGAACCTGACTGTAGTAAATTCTCGCAGTAGAGAATATCAGGTTCAAATCCAGAGTGGGACAGAAATGGTTGGACGTGTTTCCTATCACCTAATGCCTCTGTTTACCTACCAGTAAATAGGTACCCAGGAATTAGCCAGCTGGTTGTGGGGTTGTGATTGTGAGTTGAGAACAAAGCCAAGTGTGTTACGTTCGCTTATTGTAATTAGCATATATTAACTGATGTCAACAGTCATTGGTAAAGTCGACCATAGTCGGGACGGGCAAACCAGTCACACACACCTCTGAGTTATCCTAAGCCAAGGTCACGTCTGTTCGCGCGGTCATCCATCCAGTAACACCCCAGATCCAACCATCCTTATCTTGACTGATATGGAGCCCGTCCTCAGGCCAAATCAATTACCAAAAGAATCTACATCCATCCCTCAAACCACCTGGATAATTATCTAGATATTTGTGACTGTCTGAAGGCATATTACGGTTCCAGTAATAGTCTACATGTAAACTGGCAAAAAGATCTTTGTCCTGAACAGATTATCCCTAAGTTATAACTTTAATGAAATATAAATAATTTGTTTAAAATATAAAAAAGTGACTGCTGAAAACGTTTTCTTTAAAATTTTTATATTCTATAAACGGAATTCGCGGGTACACTCATAGTTTTCACATTCCCTATTTCACATTATTATTAATAATACATCGTATTAACGTAATCAAATATAATGAAACCTAACCTTACCTAACCAAACCTTAACCTAACCAAACCTTAACCTAACCAAACCATTAAAAGAGAGAGCAGATAATAGCACAAATTATATAGTCATTCCCAAGAGCGGATCCCCTCCCTGAGGAAAGATTGATCAGTATTAACCTGAGAGAATGAATTGCAACACTGCACTATGGTGGTTGTGTACACCAGCGCACACCATTAACAATTATTCAATCAAATATTTAACATTCGACAATGACCTTCGATAAATTTGATTTCAAATCACCACACAGACGCAATACCGCATGTTTGTGACGACCCAGATGACGGGGCGTGCGGGGTGAAGCCTAATGTTTATGTTGAAGGTCAGCCATGTTGTGTGTTTGTGTGCCGGGAGCCAGGTGTGTGACAGGATGATCTGACCTGGCAGCTGGGTGGAAGAGGGGTGGAAGAGCGGGGGTGGAATGGGCAGGATGGAAGGGTGGGGGTGGAAGGGTGGGGGTGGAAGGGGGCAGAGTGGGAGGGGCGGGGATGTGGGGTTAAATTTTAAGAAGACAGGACTATGAGCGAAGAGGGCGGGAAGAATGGTGGGTGTGGGGAGAGTTGAGGGTGAAAGTCTGGAAGTCAGACATAAAACAATTGTTGATAAACAATTATAGAAACAATATCTGATCAATTATAGCAAGAGGTCTATCACAAAAAATAGACTGGAGGTAAGAGCAGGGCAGCCTTAATGTGCATGAAAGCTGCTTGAGGCAACAGCCGCCCAATTCAGTCTTGTCAAACGTCAACACAGTAATGATGATAACAGGAAGGTAGAGGATAGAGGCAGCAGTACCCAGGATGTACTAGAGGCAGCAGTACCCAGGAAGTACTGACAAAAATAACACAATCATTACATTTGAGAACACGGCAGCCATGTGAGTGAACAAATTGAACATATGTTTCCTAATCCTAGGAGACTTCAATATGGCATAACTAAATTGGAACAAATATCACAGACATGGGGTGTAAAACTAGTAGAGAATGCAGAAAGAAATTTCCTTGTGCATTAAGTCAAGAAACCTAATGAGATGAGAGGAGATATATTAATAACACTGACATAATATTTACCCAGAATAAGGTATAATATCATGTCTTCTTATGGGTCAATGTCTATTAAATCCTGATATTTGATTACTTACTAAATGCAAGATAACTATGAGAAGTGTTAAGCAAAAGTTGGAACATAACAAGAGAAGAAAGGCGGAAATTGGAATTTTAAAGGAGCCAGAAAGATAATAAAAACATCTTTACTGTACAGTTAGTGAGCAAATTACCTGATTAGCAAGAGGAAGTGCATATTGGCTGCATACATAATTAAGCTTAATGCCGGGGACCAGGAGCTTTGCTTATTCTCCACAAACGGGAAAAGGATCACAGACTCAACTATTGAAACTCAAACCTGTACACGAAAAAACAAAACTAGTGGAATTACAGCACTTGAAGAGCACTTAATAACAATGCCGCCATCTGTAATGGTGTCCCTGTCTTAACGAGGCTCTTAGTTTTATATTTGTTACCCGGCAGATCTTCCTCGGCAGATCTTCCTCGGCAGACCCCACCCAGAAGAGAGGCCCCCACACTCTCTAACTAGTCTTCCTCCCTCCCCCAGGCGACGAGGCTGGGGGAGACAGCCAGAGACCCACCACGGCACCTTCATCATTGCCAACTACACCGTTCCTTCGGCGCTCGACGTCACCATCATCATCATCATTGCCAACTACACCGTTCCTTCGGCGCTCGACGTCACCATCATCATCATCATTGCCAACTACACCGTTCCTTCGGCGCTCGACGTCACCATCATCGCCAACTACACCGTTCCTTCGGCGCTCGACGTCACCATCATCATCATCATCACAGCCATTACCGTAATGACCATCACCATAACCACCATCACCTCCTCCAGAGCCATTAACATTCCCCAACGACACGCACGGTATCGTGTCCCCCCCCCCACGATACGCATCAGCACAATACTCTCCCAACGTTGGCTATCGGCTGTGGTCCCCGGGGCATGGCGCTCTGACCTTCACCATGAACGCCCACCCGGTGTACAGACCATTGTGCTTCTCCCCCCTCCCCCCCCCCCACGGTGCCTCCAGCGACCTTTCTGTTGGGTCACAGTGGTACCAGAGTCGCCAGTAGACCATCCCTGGTATCTTCGAGGTGCTTACCGACTCTTTAAGTGGTTCCCGTTGCCAATTGACCTCTGACGAAACCGCGCATTAAAGAAAAAAAGGGATCCAGTCCAGTCGTAATGACTTCAGAATCCTCAATCTTTTTTTTTCCTCTCCCTGAAGGTTAAAAGTAAGTTTTTGACCTTCACACACACCTCCGTCGGCGCCTCCAGTGAGAGGTTAGAGCACCGGGACGACCATGGGGGCGCACCAGGACGCCAGAGGGCGCCAAGGGACTCCCAGACCCGACCCACGACACGACCCACGCACTCTCCTCTTACGACTCTGGTTTGGTTAATGGACAGTCGGCAGGCGCAGCCTTTGAAAAGTTTGTTGTTCAGGCTCTTTTGTTTTGTCTCTTATCTTCCTCCGCCTCAACTTTCCCCCTCCCTCCCCCCCCCCCATATGCCCTCCCGGATGAGAGCTTCTGATGGTGTTTAATGGATTGAATGAGAGAGAGAGAGAGAAAGAGAAAGAGAGAGAGAGAGAGAGAGAGAGAGAGAGAGAGAGAGAGAGAGAGAGAGAGAGAGAGAGAGAGAGAGAGAGAGAGAGAGAGAGAGAGAGAGAGAGAGAGAAAATGAGAATGAGAGAGAGAGAAAATGAGAGAAAATGAGAGAGAGAAAATGATAGAAAATGAGAGAGAGAGAGAAAATGAGAATGAGAGAAAATGAGTGAGAGAAAATGAGAATGAGAGAAAGAATGAGAGAGAGAGAATGAGAATGTGAGTGCTCACCTAGTTGTGCTTGCAAAGGTTGAGCTTTGATTCTTTGGTCCTGTCTATCAACCATCAATATCAAACCATCAGCTTTCCGATGCGGGAGTTCCTTGGTAAATATTAGTCGACGTCATGGATACAACGTGCCGCCCTCCAGTGCGACATAAATTCGTCTCCTGTCCACCTCTGTTTTCCTCGCCACTCCTCTGTCTATGGATCCTCGCGACTCTTGACCCTTATTATTCTCCACATACGCGCGTCTCCTAACATCTGTCCTGGTGCTGTCACCACAGGATATGCCCGTCATGCAAACTGCACCTACTATCAAGAAGGTGTACGGATTCTGGAGCCTACTGGACTCTATCATATCTACATTTGAAACTGTGTATGGAGTCAGCCTCCACTACATCACTCTCTAATGCATTCCATCTGTTAACTACTCTGACACTGAAAAAACATCTTTCTAACGTCCTTGTAGCTCATTTGGGTACTCAGTTTCCACCATTGTCCCCTTCTTCGCGTACCACTCGTGTGTGTGTGTGTGTGTGTGTGTGTGTGTGTGTGTGTGTGTGTGTGTGTGTGTGTGTGTGTGTGTGTGTGTGTGTGTGTGTGTGTGTGTGTGCGTGCGCGCGCGCGCGTGCGTGTGCGCGCGCGAAGAACACAGTAGCGAGCAATATTAGCTAGATATCAATAGCCATACATAATTAATTAAACGTAAGACATGTCTATGGCTGAGTATTATATATTTTTCTGGCGTTACAGGCGACGGTGCAGACGCGGGTGGACGGAAAACTAGTGTTTTGACAGTCGACACCTGAATCATCCCAGTTGGTAGGCAGGATTGAAGCAGTTAAAGGAAAAAAACACTGGGGGCAGCTCAAAGGTGAACTGTATGCAGATGAAATAAAAATAACCGCAGTTGAAGGTTGTGAACCTTACGAACTGAGATTGAAATCAGTTGCCATGGTGATGATGGGTTACGGAGGAGCCTCCTACCTGCTGGTGTTGCTGGCTGTCCTTCTCACAGTCTGCCTCTCAACACCTCCCTTGTACCAGGTGAGACCTTCCCTTGTATTACATGTTACTTCCGTCACAGTTATTGACCACACTTTATTAGATGTAATAACGTAACTGCCAATTTCTTATTTGAATTTCAAACGTCATCTAAATACTTTAACCTCAACTTTATTTTCAGATGAAGATGATGTTCTTGGTGACCTTGAAATTCATACTGAATTCCTTCAATTGGTTAATTCGGCAGTTAAAGTGCCCGAGGACCGTGCTGTCTCATGTGTTGACCCTAAGACCAAATGATTGTCTTATACGACTTCTCCAGAATAATAAAACTCCTTTGGAGACAGGCATTGAAAAGATTATCAGGATTACAGTAAGAACATTAGGGAAAATCAGGGCCATGGTCCGACCCGACTTCCTAATAGAGCATCGCATTCTGACGTATACTCTACCTAAGGCCAAAAATTGTCGTCCTAGGAAAATGGTGGCAGCTCGCGAAATTGACATACTGTTCTGTTTTCTGTTTTGGGTCCTCTGGTAGGTTAGGATAACGGTACGTTAGTACGACAGTTTCTTGACGTTGGTAAACCATAGGAGGACGGTATTCTGTGTGGATATTCACACCTTGGGCTCCCTCCGTGACGCTCGGACGGTGGACCCGAGTCTTGCTAAAGTCACTTTTGATGCACGAGTCCGTCCATTTTGCGTGATTATTGGAGGAATTACCTGTTTTGTTCACACGTTTATCCCATCCCCACAACACATCTTTTGAGGTGAATGACACTGAACAAACAACATGGTCCTATAGATCACATCATATCTATACCCAGCCAGGCCATCACCAGAGATATCCTGACCATCAACACCAAAATAATCGACAGATAGTGACAATAAGAGATTAAACATATCCGAAGTACTTCCTATCAAACACTTCCCATCCAGTTATCAACAGCCAGTTTACACATAGGTGCGCTCTACCTATTCAGACGTGCAAGACCAGGAGAGAACTTCCAGTTTACATCAGACCAACTGCCCCAGCTGATCAACTAGTGTACAGTACTGCCCCAGCTGATCAACTAGTGTACAGTACTGCCCCAGCTGATCAACTAGTGTACAGTACTGCCCCAGCTGATCAACTAGTGTACAGTACTACCCCAGCTGATCAACTAGTGTACAGTACTGCCCCAGCTGATCAACTAGTGTACAGTACTGCCCCAGCTGATCAACTAGTGTACAGTACTGCCCCAGCTGATCAACTAGTGTACAGTACTGCCCCAGCTGATCAACTAGTGTACAGTACTGCCCCAGCTGATCAACTAGTGTACAGTACTGCCCCAGCTGATCAACTAGTGTACAGTACTGCCCCAGCTGATCAACTAGTGTACAGTACTGCCCCAGCTGATCAACTAGTGTACAGTACTGCCCCAGCTGATCAACTAGTGTGCTGTAAAAGATTGCTCAGTACTCTTGACAGGGATATGTAACGATCTATCGCCTTTCTTCCCACATGAATGGAAGATAGACTGTTGTCTTTGCCGTTATCTATTTCCTTTACCCCGACCTCTGAAGATGATAAAAGGTGACTTAGCGAAACACATCCAGTAGCAATATGCACAAGCTAATTAAAAATAATAAGTGAACTTTAGGAACGGATTATTTCACTGCCTTACTGAGTAATAACACAGAAATTGCAGGAATTAATAACACAGAAGACTTGATGCTAAAATTATCGATCTAACTCAGTCATTCAGTAAGAATTGATACGATTATCAAGATGATTTACGACTATCAAGATGGTTCGTCCCAATACTAACACCTTGCCCTTCCCACACCTGCAGGAGGTGAAGTGGTCGGAGGCGGTGGTGGAGGTGACGTTGAACTCCGACCACGCCCACTCTGACACGTACGGCCACGCCCACATCAGAAGCCACGCCCCTAACAGCCTTCTCAAGGTTACCATGGAGAATAGGTAAGACAAAGACGCCCATACATTTTTTTTGTTCAGTTAAAACTAATTTATTATTTCCTGTTAAATTCTATGGACGTTATATGGATTTTACGAGGCTTAGAAGGATGTATTTTTTTTTAATTTGAACTTCTGTTTTACATTGTACAAGATGTATGGAACATTATGGAACTTACATAATTTTTCACTTTATATATCAACTTTGCACGCTGTAATATTTTATTGCCTTTGAGAATTTTAAGACTTTATATTTTATCTTAAATTATGTCTTTGTATATGTATTTACTTAAATATATGTGCGCATATAGCTTTATAAACTAATGTTTGGGCTGCACCTGAACAATCGGACATCTAGTTGGCATCTCTTGTTGCAAAGGTACATTATATAATATATATTTGCAATGCAACAATGATCACAAAAACACTGATCCAAATATGCAGAATAACCTTTGTATATGTATTTACTTATACAAAGTAAAAAGTATTCTATTTTTCCCATGTGATTATTCTGCATATATATATATATATATATATATATATATATAATTATATATATATTATATATATATATATATATATATATATATATATATATATATATATATATATATATATATAATAATTTCTGTATTTACTATCTTCTGATTTAGGGCTTCTATCCCTCTAACTATTTTCTTAGCATCAGGGCTTAGCTGAAATAGGAGTTCTCCAAAACTCATTTTCGCAATTTCAAGGTGAAGAAAAGAAGTGAATTACTATAGAATGTATTACTTATTTATACAATTTGCACAACGTTTCGAACCTCCATGGTTCATTCTCAAGTGAAAAGAATTTTCAGGTTTGGTTGATTTTATACCCGCACTGGGTCAGGTGATAAGACAATAAAGGTGAAAACATGGGGGAATACATAAGGGATAAATGTGAGGTGAAACATAAGAATAGAGGTAACTGCGGAAGGCTTATTGGCCCATACGAGGCAGCTCCTATCTAAACACAAAGATTAATAAAGTGTAATTGGCCTGTTATGTTGAACATTGTCTTCTGTGTTGGCATCGTTATGCTCTGGTCTTGTTCTTACTCTCATGGTGGGTAGAGTAAATAGTTCATTTGATTTGGGTATTCATGGTAGGTTGTTCTATTCTTATGTGAATTGCTTCAAGAATTTATAATCTTCTTGCATCTTGGGTTTTGTCTATTATACAGGTATTTTTGTTCAACATTTCTCTTGTTAGGGTGATGTCATGGGCTTGTCTCATGTGATTCCTGGGGGCACCGGATTGAAGATGGCATGTCAAACGCCTCGTCAGCTTGGTCGACGTTATACCTATGTACTTAGATTGAAGGTTACATCCTTCGTGGCGGCAAGTGTACATGTATACAACGCTTGACTGCTGTAGAGGGTTCTCCGTCGGCTTCGGGCTGTTTTTGATAAGGAGTTCGGAAGTCTTCTTGGTTTTGTAGATTATCATCAGGTTTGTTTTGGTTGCTGCAGGTCAGTTTGAGGCTTCTCAGATTGCTACTTAGTAAGCACCAGGTCTAGTTGGTGCCAATGCTTAGACCTGGGGTGTCTCTAGGAAGCCTTGTGCTGGGGCTTGGTGTCGAAGAAGAAATTGGTGATGCAGAATTCATGCGACAGCAGAACTCCAGGAGGCATTGCCCATTCTCATTCATCTTCCCAAAACCAAACTGGCCCAGGCAGGAAGCCCAGGAGCTGTGATCAGAACCAACTCTTGCATTAAGGTCTCCCAGGAGGAAGACTGACTCTTGTTGAGGTATGTCTCTGAGAGCTAGGCCGAGGTCATCATAGAACTCGTCCTTTGCTTCGGTAGAGGAGGTCAGTGTTGGTGCATAAGCTTTGATGAGGCTGACCCTTCCTGCTGCTGTATGAAGCTGAAGCTTGATGATCCTTACAGACCACTCCGTGGGCTGTACTATGGACCCTAACAACCTGTTCCTGATGGCAAAGTCATCGCCTTGCTCCCTTACTTCTTCTGGAGGTTTGCCCTGCCTGAAGAAGATAGTCCTTCTCTCATATGCTGCCGGTCGCGGGCAGACGTGTCTCCTGCAGGGCGACTACGTCCATCTGGAGCCTGCGTAGTTCATTGTTGATCACAGCTGTCTTGCGGGCGTCGTTCACTTCCAGTAGATCTTTTGAGACCCGGTGTCATGGTCCTTACATTCAATGTGCCCAGTTTGAGAGCTGGGTGGCTCTGTGTTTGTTTTCTTTTGCCTGGTACATGAGTTGACGATCCGCTTATTGGATTGTGGCCTAAGCCCCACGCACCCAATGGAGCAGGCGGACCATGGCGGGACAGCACCTTATTGGCTGCCCAGATTGAGGTGGGCGGTAGCTGTAGCAACCCCTGGCGCCTCACTCTACGCCAATTGAGTGGTAGGCTTATCACCGGTGACTGTCGCTTCCCGTGTTGAGCCATCGCCTTGTCCTCTCCAGGGCACAGGCCAGGGCAGTAATTATGGAGAACCGGCTGTGGTCCATATAGCAGATCCACCCTCTCCACGCCACCGATGTGGTCCAAGGGAAAGGCAGATGCCAATACTCTTGGCACCAGTGTCGTCGCAGGAGCTGCCAGAATGTAGCTGTAAACAGCTGCAAACCGCCTTAGGGACTCCGACTCCGGATTTTCCCTCAGGATTGACTCCCGAAGCCTTTCCCATGAGTAGGTTTATCCGCAAGACACCAGAGTTTTGAATTCTGGGTTTTCCTTCCCAGGCTAATGAGTCTCATCTGCCCGAAGCAACTGGTTTTAAGGTGCCAAAGGCCCGCCTTTGCCCCTTTTCCTGTTGGTAGAAGCAGTTCCAGGAGCTGGACTTGGTTGTCAGAAACTATTTGAGACGCACGCCATCAGGGGCACTTTACAGATTGTGGGAGCTTATCTCTACAACCCTTCCCCCGGCTATAACAACCCTTGGAACCTTGGACTAAAATAAATAAATAAATAAATAAATTATATATATATATATATATATATATATATATATATATATATATATATATATATATATATATATATATAATTTATTGGTTACAATTTAATAACACAAATGTAACTTAATCCGTCACTTCTCACAGGAACTATCAACTAAAGCTGACTCCCACGAAATGGCTTGTGTCATCGGAAGCCACTATTACCCGCGTGGGCGAGGGCGTGGGTGGTGGCAGCGAGTACCTGCCCCTCGAGCCCCGTCCGTGCCTGTACCTGGCCCACGCTGAGGACGCGGGCGTGCAGGACGCGTCGGGCACCGTCTCCCTCTGTCACCGCGATGGACCGGTGAGTGTACTTGCCTGTAGGTGCTTGCAGGCCGAGTCTCAGCTTCGGGGCCTCGCCTTCTAAGGGCTAGAGAGATTATCCCTCATTTTTCAACATTTTTTTCCTAGAGTCCTATACTCCCTCAGTTTAAACACAAACAAATATAGGCAATTGCGGAATTACTTGAGAAATGTCAAGTTCATCAACTGCTAAAATACTTTACTGCAGTTCTTATTGAGGGGAAATAGAGCGTGAGGAGTGTTGTATCGCCTCAGCAACGTCAGTAATGTATGTGGTGTCAGCCAGTTCAGTAAGAACAAATGTATATTTTAATTTGACAGTAGGTGGGGTACCCGGCAGTGCCCGGGTCTCGCTTTCTCTCCCACCCTTTCCAACTCTCTTCCCCCTCTCCCAATTTCCCCTCCCTTTTCCCCTATCTCCTCCTCTCGTCTCCTATTCCCCTCTCCCCTTCCCCATTCTCCTCGTTTTCTCCCCCTCCTCTTCCCCTCTCTCCTCCCTTCTACCTCCTTCCCCAATCCATCCTATCCAACCCACTTTCCCTCTCTTTCTCTATCTCTGCCAGAAAATGTAATACTGTAATCCTTATGACTTAACATTTATCGTTATCGATTAAAGCATACTAATGAGCGGGTAAACGGCAGGAGTACGCATAAAAAACTTACACACATCCGCTATTTCATATTAGATTTCATCTAAACTGCCGGGTGGTCGATGTTGCTGCCAATATTTTTTTTTAAAGCATGGCACTTGGGCCGACCCCGACTAGCTTATGATACTCCCATCCCCCCCCCCCCTTATGTTTCATAATGGAAAGTTGGGTGAGGCAACTTTCTGTATAACAGCCTACGTCGATTAACGTTTGAGTGAGGGCGGGAACAAGACGTACCTAAGGAAACTAAGTCTCTCACTCACCACCTTAAACTGGCCGCTTGGATACCACAAGACAAAACAAAAAAATCTCCTGTTGAAAAATTGCGGTAAATGAGAGATGTGTTCGTCCCAAATTCAACTTGGTGCTAAAAGTTGACGGGAACACAGTGATACTCCTCTCTTTGCAGGATGCAGCTAACTTGCCATTTATTGCAACACTACACACTATAATTGAATACTTTTATATTGCAATTCAGGGTGCAGCTGTGGTGGAATTGTTGACATCTGATTTTTGTCAATAGGCTGTGTACAATTTTCAAGACTGAGAGCTTGAAACAGAGTCGAACCTCTGAGTACACTATGGTTTTTGGTTTTCCCTTAACCGTTTACAAGTCCAACAATGTGGCATCATATACATGTGCCACATTCAAGGGCTCTGATTGGATTTTTGTGCATTTTCTGAAAAAGAAGCAAGTTATTTTCAAAATAAGTTTTCGGAGAGTCTATGTAGCTCTGAAAATGAGGCTTCAGACCCAGCGAGCACAAAACCAGGAGTCGTGTGGGTTGGAGGTTGAATCAACGCCGATGGGGTTTGTTGGGCGTTGAACTGGCGTTTCTTTTGGTAATTGTACCCACTGGGGGGGGGGAGGGTAACGTCAGCCTCGACGTCCCTGCTTGCGTCATTCTTTGTGGCCAGATCTTGTTTGGTCGATTTCGTGTATTTTTTTTATCGCTGAACTGTGCCTGTCGCAGAAAATAATTGTCAACAGCATTTTTTGCGCGTCAAATAGCTCTGGGGAGACACCCACCACCACCACCACCACCACCACCACCACCACCACAGTCAGCTCTAGGGAGACACCGACAGACTAATTCATTATTCATAATATACAAAAGGTTAGTAGCCTTTGTTATCGTTATAATTAAATCGAACACCCGCAGGATGACGACCCGTATCCGAACGGGTCAATGAACCGAACAATGTTCGGTTTTCCACCTGGGCTTAAGACCCGGGAAGACAAGCCACTCCAAAGCCAAGGTCAACCAGCTTCTGGGATCCTCCTTGTGTTCGAATCCCTCACTAATTGTTTGTGACTCACTGTTGTACTCCTTCGTCACTTGTGTTGGTTGATGTCTGTCTGTGTCTCTGTCTCTGTTTCTCTCTCTCTCTCTGTCTTTCTCTCTCTCTCTCTGTCTCTCTCTCTCTGTCTGTCTCTCTCTCTCTCTGTCTCTCTCTCTCTGTCTGTCTCTCTCTCTCTGTCTCTCTCAGATTTAGAGAGAGACAGACAGACAGAGAGAGACAAAGGCAGAGACAGAGAGAGAGGCAGACAAAGACAGAGACAGAGAGAGACACAGTGAGAGAGACACAGACAGACAGAGAGAGACAAAGAAAGAATAGAAGGCGTGGGAGTATACTCGGCACCATAAGTTATTGGTTTTGCTTCCTCCACCTTCCTTGTTCTCCCCTTTTGTCTCCCCCTCTCCCACCTCCCCTCTCCTCCACCTCTCCCACCTCCCCTCTCCTCCACAACAATTACCCAAGTAATAACCACAATGATTACCAATACAAAAAAATAGCAATATGTTGGGCAGGGAGAAAGGATTTATTTTGAGCAGATTTTCTGAGAGGCAGAGCGAGGGAGGCAGGGGGAGGGAGGCAGGGGGAGGGAGGCAGGGGGAGGGAGGCAGGGGCGAGGATATATATATGTATAAGAGATAACACACCTGCGGCCACTACACACCTGGGGCCACTACACACCTGGGGGCCACTACACACCTGGGGGCCACTACACACCTGGGGGCCACTACACACCTGGGGGCCACTACACACCTGGGGGCCACTACACACCTGGGGGCCACTACACACCTGGGGGCCACTACACACCTGGGGGCCACTACACACCTGGGGGCCACTACACACCTGGGGGCCACTATACACCTGGGGGCCACTACACACCTGGGGCCCACTACACACCTGGGGCCCACTACACACCTGGGGCCCACTACACACCTGGGGCCCACTACACACCTGGGGCCCACTACACACCTGGGGCCCACTACACACCTGGGGCCCACTACACACCTGGGGCCCACTACACACCTGGGGCCCACTACACACCTGGGGGCCACTACACACCTGGGGGCCACTACACACCTGGGGGCCACTACACACCTGGGGCCACAAGACACTCATCGTTACCACTCATTGTCTCATTACTCTTTATTTTTCATTCCACTTATCTCATTCATCGTTTTTCTGTTTTTCTCATATTTCTCATTGGTGAGTTATACACTCTCACTCCCGGCGTTCAATCCCCGGCCGTCCAAGTGGTAGGGCACCATTCCTTTCCCCCGTCCCATCCCAAGTCCTTATCCTGACCGCTTGCAAGTGCTATACAGTCGTAATGGCTTGGCACTTTCCCCCCTGATAGTTCCCTTCCTTCCCTTCCCCTCACCAGGATTGAGGCCAGTGGGTCGCCTCTGGCGTATGGCACTCTGCGTATAACGACACTGCAAAAAAAACTGTGTGTATATATATATATATATATATATATATATATATATATATATATATATATATATATATATATATATATATATATATATAATTATATAAAATACATATATCTCTTGGCTGTTAGTTAAACTGTACACAAAACAGGTCGACAAAGTTTGTTTTAATGATAATCAAATATAGTTAGGATGAACTAGCGTTCATGTTAGCCTCCTGGGTTGTACCTAAGATAGTTTAAGATAGTTTATCTTCCATAAAGAACTTACTAGCAATATGGTCAGCCGTAGTCTGGGCCAACAACCGCAAATTGACCTAACAACCACGCCCTGGCCACCATATACTTGTCAGACGCATCAACCCATTCTCCTGTTTAGACAGTACCTATTGTGACAGTCGTCAATAGTCACGAATTCGTCCGTACTTAGCTTTAAGATAGTACTATACTGACTAATGAGTTTTAATTTTAAAAGGAGCTAAAAACAATCATAAATATTCCTAGGCCTAGTATAGCACACATATGTACTATATTAGGCCTCAGATATCGTGTTAGGCCTAGGGTTATCTTGAGGTTAGGTTATCTTGATGATTTCGGGGGCTTTTTAGTGTCCCCGCGGCCCGGTCCTCGACCAGGCCTGCACCCCCAGGAAGCAGCCCGTGACAGCTGACTAACACCCAGGTACCTATTTTAATGCTAGGTAACAGGGGCATAGGTTGAAAGAAACTCTGCCCATTGTTTCTCTCCGGCGCCCGGGATCGAACCCGGAACCACAGGATCACGTGTCCAGTGTGCTGTCCGCTCGGCCGACCGGCTCCCCAGGGCTGGGAGTAGGTAGGTAGGTAGGGAGGGTAGGTTGGTTTAGTTCGTCTCTGCAACATAAGTAAGATATAGTGTTCCAGTTTATGAAGACGCAGCCCGTCCTCATAAACAAAGGCCCAAAGTCCATTCCATGCACCCGCCAAACCCCCTGTTTAGGAATGAAAAACGGTTTACAACTGGTGACGTCCGAACACTTCCGGAACAAGTGCTTCACTGACGACTTGTGTTCGAATCACAACGCTGTAAATGCTTCCCTCACGTAGTACAAATGCAAATAATCGCCAACAGAACCTAAACACCTAACCTAAGTAATGCCTAAATAAGCACAATACGCTAATATATAATATTAATGATTTTTTTTAGAAAAGTTCCATTTTGAATGAGCAGCATGTTAAAACTGATGAATGTGTCTTTGGGGTCGACCGCTGGATGGAATGGACTCGATCTGAGGACGGGTTGTGTGCAATGAGTGGTATACTGTAATGTATAATAATAAGTAAACTAATTGAGAACACTGTTCTTGGTTACGTACCAACCACTTCACCCTTAACCAGCCTAGCATGAGCTATGTTGGATTTTCTTCATTATTGACGCCGCTTTAAAGTGTTTTATTATTATTATTGTAGCGTTGATGTGAGTGTAGAGTGGAGATATTACTTTAAACTGGAGATATCGCTATAAACCCCCCCCCCACTCTGTGTGTGTGTGTCTGTGTGTCTGTGTGTCTGTGTGTGTGTCTGTGTGTGTGTCTGTGTGTGTGTCTGTGTGTGTGTCTGTGTGTGTGTCTGTGTGTGTGTCTGTGTGTGTGTCTGTGTGTGTGTCTGTGTGTGTGTCTGTGTGTGTGTCTGTGTGTGTGTGTGTGTGTGTGTGTGTGTGTCTGTGTGTGTGTGTGTGTGTGTGTGTGTGTGTGTGTGTCTGGGCAGAGAGAGAGACGAGAGAGACAAAAAGGGAGACAGAAACAGAGTATCACTCAAACTGGATCTCTGACGAAAGAATAAATTAATCTATTATACAAAGAGCGCCGATCGAGCAGAAAGCGCTAGCATTATTCTTCAGACTCGCTACATTTAGCGCCTAATTGACCGTCAACTGTCGTAAACAAACATAAGCGCTAGAAAACACCACAAGGAGATGATAGAGATAACTCCTTGGTTCCAACAACATAATCTGGGAACACTTATACGAACCGGTGTTGCGGAAGACGAATACCAAAGGAATATTGTCGCCAGAGGGAATGAGTGGAGGAATGGAAATGAGTGGGGGAGGAGGAATGAGTATGGAAAGGCGGGGATTGACACTTGAGGCCCACTTAAGTCACAGGGAGGTTAGAAATAGATGAGCAGCGAGCATCTAGGAGGCAGAGACTGGAGATTACAATTCGATATATATATAGTTTTAACACAAGTCGAGAAACAAGTGAAGATCGTGTCCCTGCATTACTCAACTGATAGTTCGCTGTGTCGGGGGACAGGAAGCCAGGGTGTATTCATACATCTTTTTGGCTTTTATCGAGGTGTGTGGGATGACATGCACCAGGGATGGTGTACAGGTGTGTGGGATGACATGCACCAGGGATGGTGTACAGGTGTGTGGGATGACATGCTTCAGGGGTGGTGTACAGGTGTGTGTGTGTGTGTGGGATGACATGTTCCAGGGATGGTGTACAGGTGTGTGGGATGACATGCTCCAGGGATGGTGTACAGGTGTGTGTGGGATGACATGCTCCAGGGATGGTGTACAGGAGTGTGTGGGATGACATGCACCAGGGATGGTGTACAGGTGTGTGGGATGACATGCTCGAGGAGACAAACACGCCCCCCCCACACCTGTAACTCTACCTCGGGTGCTCACGCTATCTGCGTCACACCTGGCTAGTGTGACGCCTACACCACCTGCGTCACACCTGGCTAGTGTGACGCCTACACCACCTGCGTCACACCTGGCTAGTGTGACGCCTACACCACCTGCGTCACACCTGGCTCGAGTCTGCCCTGCACTACTATGGTGGAAAACGAACTAAGAGTGTTGCATCATACAGAAATAAACCGTGAGGACCTGTTGGGCCTCAGAGCGCTATCTTCTCCGGGTTGACGAATTCGATCCAAAGCTGCAAATCTAACCGAATATATAAATATATCGCCAGATACCTATATACTGTGATCAATGACTTATCGAACAATTTCTCCCACAGCGAGTGTTGCTGATGATTGCAGACGAGATGGCGGAGCTGCTGCCCCTTCATGAAGACCAGGGACCCCTTCAGGAGGCTCAGGGGCCCCTTCAGGAGGCTCAGGGGCCCCTTCAGGAGGCTCAGGGGCCCCTTCAGGAGGCTCAGGGGCCCCTTCAGGAGGCTCAGGGGCCCCTTCAGGAGGCTCAGGGGCCCCTTCAGGAGGCTCAGGGGCCCCTTCAGGAGGCGGTGTCTAGCTCTCCGCCGCCCTCAGCATCTAAGAGGGTCGAGGGGGGACAAAGCCAGGGGTTCACACACGTGGTCAAGCGACACCCACTCCCCGCCCTCATGGACCAGGACTGTCAGAGTGAGTGGTGACGGAGGGAACTATCAGGGGGGAAAGCGCCAAGTCATTACGACTATATAGCACTGGGAAGGGGTCAGGATAAGGATTTGGGATGGGACGGGAGGAAAGGAATGGTGTCCCAACCACTTGGACGGTCGGGGATTGAACGCCGACCTGCATGAAGCGAGACCGTTGTTGTACCGTCCAGTCCAAGTGGTTGGACTAGTGAGGTGAGGGGTGAGGGTGAAGGGAGCAGGTGAGGGGGAGGTGGAACATGACATGAATACAGAATAGAATAACAAGCTCCTTACCCCTTTTTGTGTCTGAGCTGGTGAATGGCCTGTTGTCAATATTATACACACACACACACACACACACACACACACACACGCGCACGCACGCTAGCTGTACCCGGCCATGCGTTCCTGTGGCTCAGCAATGCGTGGGCGTTGCTGAGTCACAGCAACCCTCTTCCTTCCCCCTGTCCTCCCCCCCAATCCCTTCGTCCTCCCCACCATCCCCCGCTCTCATGTCCAATGCGTTCCCAAATGATCTGATGTTCTCATCAGAAAAATGAAAACGTCAAATGATCTGATGTTATCACTGAAAAATACGAACAGTTAAAAAAATGAAAAAAAAAAAAAATAAAAAATAAACACTACTCATGAAATAAAAGGTATGGTAAACGACACAACTCCATTCCAACGCAATGTCACATGAAATAATTAAATGAAAATGAAAATAAATCGAAATCTATGAAAATTCTATTCAACAATGCAATTGGAAACATTGAACTGGAATTGTAAAATATTTTGTATAGCGTATGTTGCTTTTAAGTGCAACATGGTGCTGGTTAAAAAAATTTTTTTTACCTGTCACAGGTGTGGCATGTAAAAATTTTTTTTTTACTTGTCTCAGGTGTGGCATGTATACAGTAGGTATATAAAAACACGCTTATATGCGAATACAACGTTGTCAAAATTTCAAAGCAATCACTTTAGCTTTCTGAGATTAGCGATTTTGAACAAACGAACATTTACATCTATATAAATAAAAATGAAAATGTTCGTTTGTGCATAACCGCTAATCTCCGAAAGTTCTTCACCGATTGCTTTTAAATTTTGACACAACGTTGCATTCGAATAGGCGCGTGTTTTTATATACCTACTATATAGATGCCACCCCTCTGACAGGTATAAACGTGCGTTTTTTAAAAACAGCGCCATCTGTTACACATAATAGCAACATGCACGCTGTACTAAATGTCACGGATTCCATTTCAATGTTTCCAATTGCATTGATAAATTTTATTTTCATTGATTTTGATTTATTTTATTGAATTATTTTGCGACATTGTCTTGGAATTGAGCTGTGTTGTTTACCTTACCGTTCGTTTCGTAAGTAAGTATAAATGTCACACCTGTGACAGGTAAAACTATGCTTTTCTTGAAAAACAGCGCCATGTGTTGCATGTAGGAGCAACACACATGCCATACTAAATGTTACAATTCCATTTCAATGTTTCTGATTGCACTGATAAATTTAATTTTCATAGGTTTTGATATATTTTCATTTTGATTTAATTATTTTGTGTGAATTGCATTGGAGTTGAGCTGTGTTGTTTACCATACCGTTCATTTTGTGAGTATAGTTTATTTTTTAATTTTTCATATTTTTATTTAATTTTTTAACTTTTTCTTATATTTCAGTGATGGGAACATCAGATCACTTGATGTTCCCAATTTTCTGATGGGAACATCAGACCATTTGGGAAGGCATCGGACGAGGGAGTGTGGAATGGTGGGGAGGACGAGGGGACGGTGGAAGGTTGCTTTGACTCAGCAACTCACATGCGTTGCTGAGCCACAGAAACGCATGGCCGGGTACTGCTTGTTTATATATAATATATATATATATATATATATATATATATATATATATATATATTATATATATATATATATATATATATATATATATATATATATATATATATATATATATATATATATATATAAATAAAATATATGTGTGTATATATATAATATATATATATATATATATATATATAATATATATATATATATATATATATATATATATATATAATATATATATAATATATATAATATGCACTTCGACCATTCGAGCCTTGAACAGCAAACCGCAAATCACAGATGGAGCAATCCTCTGAGACACCCGCACCCACAGAGCTGCGGGCTGCTGCTTTTGTGGTCTGGGGTTCAAGGCTCCAATGGTCGAAGTGAATAAAATGTTATCCACGAAACGATGGTTATTAAATGTCTGTTCCAAGCCAGGCCCCAAGCCAGGCAGTACAATGACATAAGGTTTCATTTTTTTCTTGTAATTCACGCCTCTCAGCTCTGGGACTAGTTTAGTGGCATGCCTCTGGACTTTCTCTCCCTCTTTCCTTCTCTACCCCTCCGCTGGAGAGAGATAGGGAGAAAGAGAGGGAGAGAGATAGGGAGGGAGGGAGGGGAGGGAGGAAGAGAGAGACAGCCAGGAACTAGGATATCGAGAACATAACCGGCGTATCCATCCGGATTATCCTCTTACCTGAACATTCAAAGTTAAGTTGTCTGTAAACCATTATTTTTGCAGTTCATTGCACTCGCAACATGCTATTTCTCTCCTCCCCCATCCTGTTGCTCCTGTTGCTCACATGATGCAACTGCTGGTTTAGAAACCCAGTATAAAAGTTGTGTTCAATACCTTCCCTTCAGATCACGTCAGCTGCGCGCGGACTCCGACCGTCCCCGACCCCATTGGCTTGCCAGACCTCAGCCAGGTCATGGTGGACCCCACGGTGAGTTGCCTGATCCCACGGTGAGTATAATATAATAGTAATATAATAATAATAAAATGCTAAATAAATAAATATATAATTCTGTATATTTGTGAGTGAAGGAGCAGGAGGTGAAGCGGGTGGCGGAGGTGACAGGAGCCGGGGCCAGGCCGCTGACGGTGGAGTTGGGGCTCTTCCTCGACCAGGCCCTCATAGAACTCTTCTCACAGTACCTGTCGTCCGAGGAGGAGCTGGTCGACCTCGTCCTCGCCCTCGTTAACAATGTAAGAATCTTGGTTAGGAGCCGTCTGTGGTATTACCGTCTACTTAGACGGTAGCACCACTTAGACGGTAGCTACGGAAACGGTCACGTTTTCTGCAGGGTTCGATTCCCAAAGATCTAAATAGTTAGGTGTACCGTCCCTCCACGCCGTCATATCCAAGCTCTCAGTACTGTTCTCAAATTCCAACCAAGTGTTATATAGTCAGACCGGCTTAGCGACGTCTCTTTGATAAGAGATTTTTTATCTAAAAACCTTGCCGTTTTTAAACGATATTCATAGGTGGTCCCTTCTCCCTGACGCAGGTCCAGGCGCTGTACCGGCACCCATCGCTGGGGCGCCGGGTGGACCTCACCATCACCCACCTGCGGCTCCTCAACTCCCAGCCCAAGGGCTTCGACACCCACAATGGCGACAGATCGCAGCTCCTCAAGTCCTTCTGCGAGTACAACCAGAGAAACAATGACCCAGACGACGCCAACCCCGACCACTGGGACATTGGCGTCTACCTGTCAGGGTGGGTACTAGGTTCTTGTGTGGGTATGTGGGTGCTGACTGTAGGGGGTGTTAACTACCATCATGGGCACTGTAGGTGCTGGTTGACTGTGCGGGGGGGGGGGGGTGATTAACTACCGTCATGGCCTATAGCCGGTCTTGTGGCTGTTATGTGAATTTGGAGGTTATAATAATTATAATAATAATATAAGCACTGATTGTGTTACTTTGTGGGTAATTGATAACCACCTGTTCGATCCTGCGCAGCATCCTCAGTTGCTAACCTCATTCTTTAGATTCCCATTCTCTCTCTCTCTCTCTCCCTCTCCCCCTCCCCTCCCCCAGGCTGTTGTCCTCTTCCTCCGATAGTCTTAACTGTCCGCTCTGCTCAGCTTCTCATTCACTCCCAATTCTGGTTCTGTTTATCTCATTATACGTCATTCTGACACCCTCCTTGACTAGTTCCCTCCCTCTCACACATTCTCCCTCACCACCTCCATCACTAGTTCCCACTCACCCACCTTCTCCCTCACTAGTTCCCTCCCTCACTACCTCCATCACTAGTTACCTCTCACCCACCTTCTCCCTCACCACAATCCCGCAGCCTCGACTTCTTCGTGAAGAACCCTGACGGGACAGACGACGCGGTGACGATGGGTCTGGCGTACACGGGGGGCGTGTGCAAGCCTCACCTCTCCTGCGTCATCAACGAACTCGGGGCCGTCAACTACCGCGGGCGTCCCTACCCGTCCACAGGCGCGCTCAGCTCCTACGTCCTCGCCCACGAAATCGGACACAGGTGAGGGTGGAGAAATCGGACGAGGGAACCCCGCAAAATTTGAATTTGTAAATGCATAATAATTATATTTGATTCTCCTTCCCCTCCGACGTGATTTTGTTATGCGCCTTACATGTGACCTCGTGTATATGTCTATGACCTCTGACCTGTTCCGCGAGGTGCGCAGCTTGGGTCTGCGCCACGACGGGGTCAGCAACGAGTGCGCGACGAGCGGGTTCATCATGGCCGCCGGCAGGGGTCGGAAGGGCGCCACCACCTGGTCCTCCTGCGCCAGGGACAAGATCCTCATGCAAGAGTAAGTGGCAGGGGCACAGGGGGAAGGGGAGGGGGCGAACGGGGTAAAGAAAAGGAGAAAGAGAGATAATGAGCATAAAATGAATGGTAGAGAAGAAAAACGAGAGAGAAAATAACCAAATAAATATTAGGAGAGAAGATAGGGAGGATAAGACCCCAGCATGTGAAGACTCACAATACTGAACAATAACACAGCATCGTTATAACCACTCCACCGCTCGAATGACCCCAACCACATCTAACCTTTCCAGTGGCGAATGTCTGCACGAGGGCGGCGTGGCTACTGGCGTGGCTGCCGGCGTGGCTGCCGGCGTGGCTGCCGGCGTGGGCGCAGACGTGGGCGCAGACGTGGGCGCAGGCATGGGTGTGGGTTCAGCCGTGGGGAGCGGGGAGCAGGCGAACAACCGCACCAGGTCCCGGGGCCTGCCGGGTCAGCGGTGGGACGCCACCGCACAATGTCAACTGTTCCTGAAGGACCCCGATGCTGTCCTGGCGGATGTGCTGCTCATCCACGTGAGTATTTCCAGCACTTGGGTTCGAAGTCGCATGTGAGCGCCATGGTTGGGTGTTGGGCTTTTGGAACTATCACTTGCTGGAGGGCTATTAAAACCAACATAATATCTTGCTGATCAACCGGCATATATACTTGAGTCCTGTACATTTTTCAGGACTAAGGTGACGTGTGTCTGTGTCTGTGTCTGTGTCTGTGTCTGTGTCTGTGTCTGTGTCTGTGTCTGTGTCTGTGTCTGTGTCTGTGTCTGTGTCTGTGTCTGTCTCTGTGTCTGTCTCTGCGTCTGTCTCTCTCTGTCTGTCTCTCTCTGTCTGTCTCTCTCTGTCTGTCTCTCTCTGTCTGTCTCTCTCTGTCTGTCTCTCTCTGTCTGTCTGTCTCTCTCTGTCTGTCTCTCTCTGTCTGTCTGTCTGTCTGTCTGTCTGTCTCTGTCTGTCTGTCTCTGTCTGTCTGTCTCTGTCTGTCTGTCTCTGTCTGTCTGTCTCTGTCTGTCTGTCTCTGTCTTGTGTGCTAGTGTACCAACCTGTCCTCAGGCCAGGCTCGTAAGAACTGTGGCCCTCCTCCACAGACGGATACATCAATTTTTAACATACTGTGAATTAAAAATGTGTTTGTTCTCATGTATAGGTAAAAGCTATTATATATTAAATTTCAGTGTAAAGTTAGGCGTAGGTTAGATTAGATGTTTAGATTTTGTTGGCGATTATTTGTATTTGTAGTACGTGGGTGAAGCATTTACAGCGTTGTGGTTCGAACAAAAGTCGTCAGCGAAGCACTTGCTACGAAAGTGTTCGAACGTCATCAGTTCAGTCGTGGGTAAATAGTTTTTCAGTTATAAACGGGGGGGGGGGGGGGTTGGGCGGCCGGATTAGCGACCATTTGGCCTTTGTTTATAAAGACGGACTGGACTGTACAGACCGTCCTCATAAACATTGATGAAATGTTCACCAATTCAGCAGCCGTCCCAAGTGTCTGAATGAATGACTCACAAATGGCAATTTTCGAACCTTTCTCAAACATTTCTTCGCTCACTTCCTATGTTCGAATCGCTTGCAAATGCTTCACCTTTATCAGCCCGCAGCCTGTTCTTATCAACAAAGCCCAAATGTTCAATCCATTCAGCCGCCAACCACCCTGTTTATAAATGAAAAACGTTTTACAAAACTCGCAGCTGAGGATGTTCGAACATTTTACGAAAAGTAATTCGTTGACGATATCTCTTCGAATCGCAACGCTGTAAATGCTTCACCCAAGTACTTCAAACCAGCCCGTCCTCATACACAAAGGCCAAAGTCCATTAAATGCTCCCGCCAAACCCCCTGTTTTCATTTTTATGAATGAAAAACGGTTTACACACAACCCGTCCTCGACTCAAGTCCATTACATCCAGCGGTCAACCCCACAGACGCATTCATAAATTTTAACATGCTGTTCATTCAAAACGGGAATTTTCTCAAGTATAAATTAATATTATAATAGCATATTGTGTATAAATAGGCATAGGTTAGGTTAGGTCAGGTGTTTAGGTTCTGTTGGCGATTATTTGTATTACGGGGGTGAAGCATTTACAGCGTTGTGGTTCGAACAAAATTCGTCAGTGAAGCACTTGGTCCGGATATGTTCGAACGTCAGCAGTTGTGAGTCGTGTGTAAACCGTTTTTCATTCATAAACAGGGGGTTTGGCGGGTGCATGGAATCACTTTTGGATCTTTGTTTGGAGGACGGGCTGTTACACACGATTCACAACTGATGACGTCCGAACACTTCCGGAACAAGTGCTTCGCTCAGGTCCTCTGTTCGAACCACAATTCTATGAATGCTTCACCCACGTACTATAAATACAAATAATCGCACACAGAACCTAAACACCTAACCTAACCTAACTAGTGTCTAAATATGCATAGCATGCTAATATATAATAATAACATTAATTTATATTGGAGAAAATTCCTATTATGAATAAAGAGCATGTTAAAATTGACGAATGTGTCTTTGGGATCGACCGCTGGATGGAATGGACTTCGTCTTAGGACCGGTTGTTCAAATACAAATAATCGCCAAACGAACATAAACATCTAACCTAACCTATGGTAAACAATACATATAATTTTATTGTATAATATTAATTTAAATGAGAATAAACCAATATGCAGTATGTTACAATGGACGAAAGCGTTTGGGAAGGTGACGGCCGCCGCATTAACGTGCCTGGCCTGAGGACAGGGTGCATCCACGAACGTCAAATATAAATAATGGCAAGAGCCTATACACCCAATATAACTTAACATACACATGCACAAATATGGTGTGTGTGTGTGTGTGTGTATGAGTGTGGTGTGTGGGTGTTGTGGCATATATTTATGTGAGGTGGGAAGGATGATGTGGCATTAGAGGATATTAATAGGGTATTAAAAGTATAACACAAGACAGAACACGAAACAATGGATATAATAGAAGTATATATATATATATATCTTGAGGTGGGTAGAATATAGTATATATATATGTGTAGTGCCTCGCAAACGTCATATCGCTGTACCTATATGATTTCTGTGTGCGTGTGTTTGGTGTAATGTTCCTTAATGGACTGAGAATTTGTTGTCTTCCCCTTACAGTCCCCAAGTGTGCATAGCAGCGTTAGTCCTTTTAAAGCGTGTTTCGTCTCCTAGTAGGCGCCGTTTTTCTGGTTTTATATCCTCTATACCTAACAGGTACCTAGTAGCCAGGCGCTAGCAAGGCCCGATTTGCCTAATAAGCCAAGTCACTGCGTATGAGGTGGAGAGAATGACCGAACCTAAGGTTTGGGGTAGCCGAAAAAGTAGGGGGGTTGCCGAAAAAAACAATTAATTCATGGGCTTAGAGAGTAGAGAAGTGCGTTCTGGCTACTAGGTACGACATATATATATATATATATATATATATATATATATATATATATAATATATGTCGTATGTAAGATCTCACCATGCATTTGCCTAATAAGCCTGCTGAATACCATATCAAAATAACCTAACAAAAGACTGAACACGGTCATTCTCCTCCGTCTCATACATCCCATAAGAAAAAATTTACCGCACCAGTGGCTGTCGTGGCGGTACGAATGCGAGAATTTTCTTCCCCCAGCCCTGGGGGCCCGAGAGACCGCAGGAGGTGGTGGCTGGCGGCTGGGGGCCCTGGACCCACGTGCGTGGCGGACTGCACCTCCGGGCTGCGTGGAAGGGGCCACAGGTGAGTCCCCCCGTCAACAAGGAGAGAGCGGGAGGCTGGCATCCCGCTGGGCCATTGTCCCGCGGTGGAGTTATACAGTGAGCCAGGTACGGCCGGTGGGGCTTTGTCAGACACACCACTCTCAGGTTGCTGTTTTATTGTTTGTTATATATGGGGAAGGGAAATGAGATTCAATTTGATAAGCAGGGGGGGGGGCGGGCGTGCACGAGGGGGGGGGGGGGTGGTGCGCGCGCGCGCGCGCACACACACCACACACACACACACACACACACACACGCACACACACACACACGCACACACGCACGCACACACACACACACACACACACACGCACGCACACACACACACACACACACACACACACACACACACACACACACACACACACACACACACACACACACATATACACACACACAATGATAACCACCTACAAAATTCTCAGGGGAATTGACAGGGTGGACAAAGACAAACTCTTCAGCACGGGTGTGACACGAACAAGGGGACACAGGTGGAAACTTAGTACCCAGATGAGCCATAGAGATGTTAGAAAGAATTTTTTCAGTGTCAGAGAAGTTAATAAATGGAATGCACTAGGAAGTGATGAGGTGGAGGCTGACTCCATACACAGTTTCAAATGTAGATATGATAGAGCCCAGTAGGCTCAGGAATCTGTACACCAGTTGATTGACAGTTGAGAGGCGGGACCAAAGAGCCAGAGCTTAACCGCCGCAAGCACAATTAGGCGAGTACACACACACACACACACACACACACACACACACACACACACACACACAAGAATGAACCAACAAGAATGAGAGATGATGATGAACCAGCAATGCTTGATTTGATATTTACCCTGAATGAGTGGGATATAAGGGAAGTTAAGATGGAAGCGCCCTTGGGAATGAGTGACCACAGTGTATTGAACTTTGAGTACCTGGTAGAGCTAGGAATTATCTCCCCCAAAAAAGAACAAGGAATCAAAAGGCTGGCATACCGAAAGGCGAATTATGAACAGATGAGAAGTTTCCTAAAGGAAATACCTTGGGACACAGACCTCAG